GTGGGTGGGTTTGGGTGGGTGTGTGGGTGGGTGTGTGGGTGGGTGGGTCTGTGGGTGGGTGGGTGGCTGGGTTTGGGTGGGTGTGTGGGTGGATGTTTGGGTGCGTGGCTAGGTGTGTGGGTGAGTGTGTGGCTGGGTATGTAGGTGTGTGGGTGGGTGTGTGGGTGGCTGGGTGTGTGGGTGGGTGTGTGGGTGGCTGGGTTTGTGTGGGTGTGTGGGTGGGTGTGTGGGTGGGTGGCTAGGTGTGTGGGTGGCTGGGTGTGTGGGTGTGTGGGTGGGTGTGTAGGTGGGTGGGTGTGTGGGTGGCTGGGGGTGTCGGTGCATGGCTGGGTGTGTCGGTGGCTGGGTGGGTGGCTGGGTGGCTGGGTGTGTGGGTGGCTGGGGGTGTCGGTGCATGGCTGGGTGTGTCGGTGGCTGGGTGGGTGTGTGGGTGGGTGGCTGCATGGTTGGACCCAGCGGCTTACAAAGGGCCCGATTGTGTGCCAGTCCACGGCCAGAAGCGTCGTCATCTGCTGCCGGGCGTGAGCATCCACGCGTCTCTTGCCAAGCGCTCGTCTCGTTTGCTGGGCCCAAAGCCCTCCCCGCGATATAATGAGGCAAAGCCTCGCTTCCGTTTTATTATTCTTCTTCTTCCCTCTCTTCCTCCTCCTTATGGCCCACGATGAGCGCAACTGTGAGAGATTGAGGTGCAAGTCATTGAGCCATCCAATTGTTTTTTTTTTATTTGAGAGTTGGTGAATTGCAGGTATAGCCACACACACAACACAGGCAAAGATCACCCATATAGCCTAAACGGACTGTTAGGGCAAGTGCTGTTAGCGAGCACCTATGAAGGTCGGCACGGCACACGAGCGGTAGGGGCAGCACCACGCCCGGCCGCCTTTGTCTCCCCAGTAGCGATATTTACACACCACACCAAGTACTCATTTGAGGCTGAGTCGACCTAGGGGGAGGCCCAGAACCGGGTCAGATAATCGTCACTGCTGTTGACCGTGAGCGGGAATCGAACTCGGGTCGCTGAGTTCGTGGCGCAGCGCGCTAACCACTACGCCACCGCTCCCCACGCACGCACGCTCGCACGCACCTACCCAACCCACCGCTGAAGCGGCCACAGGAGCCCCTTGAGCCGCTCTGGCACGCCACCTGTACACACTACTTGTGTGTGTGAGTGCCGGTGACGGGCTGCTCAGGGTCGGTCAAGGTGAGCGGTCAGGAGAACAGTCGCAGGTTACTTTTGGCTCATGAATGCGGACCGGTGTTAACGCAACGGGGCCTTAGGGCGGTCCCCAAGTCGTGAAACCACCTGGACATCATTGTCGTTGGGTTTTGTTTTCAGTTTTGCCTCGGCGAGCGTCGGAGCCACGTGGCGAGGTTGTTGATTTCCGGGGTTATTGCTGTAATTGTTGATCTGTGCCACGGAATGTTCGACTCGCATATGGGTCCACTTCGTAACCCCCGTTAGTCTTCACGAACGTAGGTCAATGTGAGGCAGTCATCGTCGCCATCAGCATGAGCAGCCATGATCTATCTACCGCTGGATGACAACTGCTGGATGAAAGCGTCACAAGCAGTCACGATCCGGCGATTTGACAATCCACCTAGGAGGATCTTTGTCTTTATATATTTTTTGTGTGTTGCCAATTTGCTAAATGAACTTCTGAGGCTCAAGCGTGTGTGAGTGAGCAGCTGCTCTTTTAAGAGGTAAAGGCGGAGCCCAGCAATTGCTCGCTCACGCCACTGCCCGTGGAAAATGCCTCCACGAGAGAAAGCTCTATGGGAGAACATCTCTGGATGTTGTATTTGGCCTACTCTTCCACGCTGCCCAGATATCTTAGAAGAGGCGGGACTACCCCACGCCTTTACCCCACCACACGCAGCGCTGCTGATCGACTGACTGCGGCGGGTCAATTGACACGCGCTGGGTGGACAGAGTGCGGTGGTCGTGGGGATTGAAGCAACTTGCACCGTCGTGTTAGCTGCTGCGCCGGGTGAGTGTATGGAACCGGCGTCCTCTGGGGTTGCAAGTCCACCGTGTTAACTGTCACACCGCGGCAGCAGCGGTAACGGGCCATTCATTGAGTACGTATGCATGGACGGGGGAGGGGGGGGGGGTAACCCAAATGCGTAGCTTGCGTATGGGGGCTCTACTGACAATGTGCGCGTAGGAAACGGGGGGGGGGGTGAAGCCTCGATAATAATTTGTCTACATTGGTCTCCAAATTGAATTAGTCCGCGGTGGACTATCCGTTTAAACACGTTAATATTATTAATCCTTGATCGTTTCTGTGTGGATTAAACATCGGCCGTTCTATAGGTTTCGGGGGGGAGGGTGCGTCAGATGGGGGGGGGGGGGGAGGGTGTAAAAAGTCCGCGTGCGTACAGAGAGGGGGGGAGGGATCAAGTTTCGACAAATTTTTTCATACCCACTCAATGAATGGGCCCCTATCCCTTGCGCTGCTATTGCGCATGTGAATAATTTTTGGGATTTCAGCCCAATTCGCGCGAGTGATTTATTTTCCGTGTTCATTGGCCACGCAAGGATTGCGCGATCCATCCGTTGAGCCGTGCGCGCGATAGATTACTGCCCCGCCAGAGACGAGTAGAGCCACGGCACTTTTACCCTCCGACAGCGGCGCTATAAATCCCCACGGCTTAAGCAGAGCGTAACTCTACCTGGTCCATAAAACACCGTCCGCTCTTAGATCGGCGCCGAAGCCCAACTTCCGCGAGAGAGCCGCACTCGCAATGGAGCAGCTCCTCCATCGCTCGGACACATTGCGGAGGTGCAGCAGGAGAGCGCGATTGTTGAATGGAAACCGATCAAAAAATCGGGGGGAGAGAGAGGGGGGGGGACACCACGTGGAGTGCGACAGAAATCCGTGGTGCGTTGGGCGAGAAGCGACGCCGGGCGGGGGGGGGGGAGGGGTCTTCGTGCAGGGCAACTTGTCGGTGGGGTTGACCTCGCGGAATCGAGCGGGGGGGACCTCTCAGCCCCGTGTGGCGTTGCGCGATTGCTGCGGTCCGAGTGAGGCTCGTGAGCAAAATGTCGCCTTGCTTCTTGCGTCCGTGGCCGCCTACCGCCGGTCACTTGAGTTCGGCTCAACGATTCGATTGTTCGCGTTCGGGTCACGCAACGTGGTGCAGAGAGAGCCTTGGGGTGGACGCTGTTTTCCCGCCCCCTTGCCACCTCGCCTTTCACGTGTCCACTTGCCCCCCCCCCCCCCCCCCCCATAAAGCCTCGCCTGTTGTCTCTGCGTCTCGGAGCGAGCTGCAGATAAGGGATTTAGCGCGTGAGCTGTGACGCGAGCTGGCGACTGGGCTTCTCTTTTGCAATCTCAAATCGGAAGAGCGATATTTGTAAGGCCACCTGCCACACTTCGTGAATGGGATCGTGGCGTAGCTGGCGAGTGTGAAGGCGGTGCAACTGCACCAGTGGGCCCACGGGCTGGGCAACGCAGAGAAGGGGAATTGGACAAAGGGGGGCGGGGTCCATTTCATCCTAACGGTACGGATACAGATTACTTAACAAGTTCTTCGACTGCAGTTAGCTCAACTCAAACCTGACATGGGTTTTATAAACGTCGCAAGGTTACGACATGTAACGCGTATAACGCACCGTGCTGTCATTTGCACGATACCCGAGTAGGCAATTAAGAGAACTACAAAACGTGTTACGTCATGTAACCACCAAGCCATCCTTTGCTCCAAATAACGTTTTGTACGGAACTGGCTCAATGGGCATTAGCTAATTATGAAAACAATTAACATTGAGGGTTGTGCATTTACATTATGAGACCTCCTTTGCCAGTAACAAGATATAGTAATAGGTTTTACCCTTTTAAGTACGCCTTTTGGCGTCTTCTGGTCCAACACCAGTGGAGACTAGGCTCTAAGAAAAGCCATCTCAGGTGTGGACCAATCAAATTCAAGGACAGTGCATATTATTATCAGAGTTGTCTCTTTTGTTTACATTTTGACTGCTTGTGTTGTGGTTATTGCAAACATGATGCCTTGAATAAAGATGTCATCTTTTTTTTGTGCCAGTTAAAAGGGTAAAACCTATTACTATATTGAGGGTTGTGTTTTTATGTTCCATAGTAGAGGTTTGTTTGGGTTAGATTGCGTAAATATATAAATGTGTCGTTGAACCCGCCACCACCCGACACAGCCAACTAGTAAGGGTTGTTACGTAAACAGAACGTGGCCAATTCGTCACTAGTACAGCAACACCGGTGTGTTGGAGAGCCAAGCCACAACATTTACAATCTGAGTACGACGTTTCGCCAGTAATTACAACCAGCTTCATCAGGCGACAGCCAGATTGGTTTCAACGACACATTTATATATTTACGCGATCTAACCCACAAAACACCTCTATTCTGGATGATATTGGTCGCGAAAGCCTCCGTGTTCAACTGTTTTTATGTTATACGAATTTTGTCAGGTAATTTTTTTTCATGAACAACGATAATCACGGTATTAACGATTATTGTGAAGTTTATCAAAGTTAAAGGTGCATCCCTGCGATGTACGGCTCACACCACTTCAGACAGAAGGGCCTCCGCTAGAGCGCTCTAAGCGATTCAATCCAGGGGGCGTTTTGGCCTACTCTTCCACAACTGTGGTGCACCCACCCATGTCGCTGGGTGGACAGAGGCGGGCGGCGGGGGCGAGCGGTGTTACAGAAACTCGCCCCAACGTCTCAGTTTGCCGTATCGGGAGATCGAATCGTAGCACCGGCGATCTCTGGACCGCTAGCTCACGGAGCCACTGTGACCCGTCGTCTAAACTGCTGCGCGCCAGGAGAGCCGCTCGAACCGGCGGTCGCCGAACTGCCCGGTGCCAGTGCAGTGCGCTGACCATTGCACCACACGGCAGCGTCTCCCCACCTCCCCACCCCCGTGTCTCGCACGAGACGCGAACATCACGACGGTACCGCCACGATGACGCCCCCCCCCCCCCCCCCCCCCGCGTGTGTTGCCACCGCTGCGCGCGTGCAGGGAGTGAAGGTGTTCCCGGGAGCGTGCGGAGGCCGCGACTGCGCAGGAGGATGCAAGTGCTTCCCCGAGAAGGGGGCGAGGGTGAGTAGCGGTCGCGTGGCAGCGTGCGATTTGCTGCGTGGTGGAGCCGGGCTTGCCGATGCTCCGCCGGCCGGAGATGCCCCCTGGGTGGAGACGGTGAGATGCTTTGCGTTGTGTCTCTGCGCACTCCCCCACCCACCCATTCCCCCTTCTCGCGAACGATGGATCTGGCTGCGTGGTGTGACACATTCGATCCGGTAATGGAACTCACCTTGACTCGTGCAGGTTCTTCAATGAGTGATGAGGCCACGAAATAGAATTCTACAACGAGAACAACAAACATCGGTCAGAATCCACTCCACGTTCCCCACCTCGCTCTCCTCTCCGCTGTCCGGCCATAGCTGCAGGTGATCGGCACGCACCTGGCTAAGTCTGGTTCCCGATGACGACCGCTTGTGTTGCGATCGAAACGTCGTAGTTTTTTGTTATTTTTGTTATTTTCTTTGAACCTATCTACGTGGCTTTACCGGAAGACCCAACGAATATACACACAAATATACAAGCGAGCAGCCGTGAGTGACAGGGGGACTTAAGGACTGGTGGGGGATGAGGGTCAGATTGAGAATTGTGGGGGGTCACGTTATGGGCGTGAGGCATCGTTGACGAAAAGGATGTTGGAGGTGAGGAATTTTTAGCGATGGAGGTCAGACTTAATGTGAATGAGGAAGTAGTTAGTTATGGGGTCTGGAAGATTGCGACTTAGCTGCCTTAAAACAAAGACAAAGATCCCCCGTATAGCCTTAACAGACTGTCGGGGCAAGTGCTGTCAGCGAGCACCTATGAAGGCCGGAACGGCACACGAGGGGGAGGGTGGCCAGCACCACGCCCGGCCGCCTTTGTCTCCCCAGTGGCAATGTTTACACACCGCACGAGGTACTCATTTTAGGCTGAGTCGACCTATGGGAGGCCCCAGGACCGGTTCAGATCATTCATTAATCGTCACTGGTGCTGGTCGTGAGCGAGAATCGAACCCGGGTTGCCGGGTTCACAGTGCTGCACGCTAACCGCTGCGCCACCGCTCCCTACTTAGCTGCCTCAACACCCCGCAGGACCCACATCGTCCCACAATCATCACAGCACCCACAGCTCGACTATGTACCCGTATATATGTGTAAAGAAGCTCCTTGGAGACCTACACTTTCTGTGGAAGTAGAGCTGTATTTATAACTGAACGTTCCGAGTGTAACAACCGCCACACTCGTGATTACTATCGGGCTATGTTCAGCCCCGATTGGTTTCCACCAAGTTGTTTCTGGAACAGTGGGACCCAATGTCGTCCACCCCTGGCCGTCGATAGGTCCCCGAACAAGCGCCCCGAACCATGGAAAACTGTGCCTTTTGAAATCTCTCTTGATGTCTTGATATTTCTCTCCCCGCCCTTAATGAGCTACCGCCTGTCGTCTCTTGCTACCAGTGCCTCCCTCTCTCCAGATGTCAGACATCCGTCCGCCGGTGTTTACAACGTGTTAAATTTTATCAATTCCATGTGCAGTTCCCTTACATATACACCACAATCACTTTGCGAGCGTGGCCCCGACAACAAGCACGCAATCACAAAACCCTCGTCGTGGGAAACTCGACATGCTGCAGGCACAAGGCCTGGCTTCACGACCGGAGCGGCATGGGAACACTGCAACCTGCTTCAAACTCGTCACGGAAAAGGAGGCGATAGCCACCGAGGCACAACAGTCCCGCTTGCGCATGAATGAGGGTGGATCCACCGATGCATCTTCGTTGCCGTCCGCACCACCGTCGCTGCTTGTGCCAGTTTAACTCCGGCCTCGTGTTTGCGATAGGCACTGGACGAGCGTGCCCCAAAGACAAAGATCCTCCGTGTAGCCGTAACGGACTGTTGGGGCAAGTGCTGTTCGTGACTAGCACCCATGAAGGCCGGCAAGGTACACGAGGGGGTGGGTGGCCAGCACTACGCCCGACCACCTTTGTTTCCCCAGCGAGGTTGTTTTACTCACCGCCACCAGGTACTCATTTGAGGCTGAGTCGACCTAGGGGAGGCTCAGGGCCAGCTCAGATAATCGTCAACGTTGTTGGTGGCCGTGAGCGGGAATCGAACTCTGGGTCGCCGGGTTCGTAGCGCAGCGCGCTAACCACTGTACCACTGCTCCCAAATACAGCTGGCGGACATCACCTAAAGCACCCACACCATGCACCAAGAGCTACAACAGCCGAGCATTGCTACAGATTGTATTGCATTCACGTGGTGCTATTGCGCACGCCTGCGGTCCAGCACTTTGGAGGGGAGCGTTGGTGAATCGCTCAGATTTGTGGAGCTCCAAAACCCCACTTGGGCTGAGAGGTGGCAAGGAAACGGGAGTACAGCAAGTGGGTTTGTGAACCCGTGTGTGAAGCCCTTTGAGTGTTAGCCACTCAAAATACGGCTGGGTCTCAGCCCATCATCGCCCTGGGGTCAATAAAATTAGCACAAATCTGCGGGGACGACATCAGTGGTTACCATATGAATGTCCATAATATAGGAGTTTTTCGGGGTTAGATCGCATAAATATAAATATGTCATATGGATATACTCGTCCCTGCCATAAGGATGTGGAATTTCCACCACTGGCTCAGGGATGTAAACGGGAGTTGAGCACCGTTGCCTCAATCCTCATTTGAGCAGGAAATCACTGACGGTTTTTTTTTGCTGTGCATAAAAGGAACTGGTCACACATCCCTGAAAAAAAATCACAGTGAGCCCCAGTCACAGTGAGGCTTCTCCGGAACACAGCGAACGCCTAAATTGTTATGCAACATCTTACACCGCCAACTGTAACTCGTAGCAACATCGACGCAACAGCAATGAACGAAAACCACAACTTCCCATGGTGACCCCATGCGTACGTTCCCCTTCAGCAGCCGCAGCAAACCACAACATCCCCCCCCCCCCCCCCATGGCATCCACCACCAGCACCGCCACAGTGACCCCAAAACATCCCGCAATTCTCCACTACAAACGCAGGGCCTTGGCGGAGCCTCTCTGGATCTGGCGATGTCGGTTCGGTCGGTCTGCAGAATTTCTAGCAAGAGGTGAGGCAATTTGTACGGATTAAATATTAAAACGCAGTTTTAAAATCTACTCCGATTAGCCTACTCCGACAGACTCACACAGAGACCCATAGACTTACACAGAGACCCACAGACTCACACAGAGACCCATAGAATTACACAGAGACCCACAGACACACACAGAGACCCACATACACACACAGAGACCCACAGACACACACAGAGACCCGTAGACTCACACAGAGACCCATAGACTCACACAGAGACCCACAGACACACACAGAGACCCGTAGACTCACGCAGAGACCCACAGACTCACACAGAGACCCATAGACTTACACAGAGACCCACAGACGCACACAGAGACCCACATACACACAGAGACCCACAGACTCACACAGAGACCCATAGACTCACACAGAGACCCATAGACTCACACAGAGACCCACAGACACACACAAAGACTCACAAACACGCACAGAGACCCATGGACACACACACAGAGACCCACAGACACACACAAAGACCCACAGACACACACAGAGACCCATGGACAAACGCAGAGACCCACAGACACACACAGAGACCCATGGACAAACGCAGAGACCCACAGACACACAAAGAGACCCGTAGTTTGTTGTCCTTCCCACGCACCTCCCATTAGCACGGTTGGCTACGTACGGTGCGAAAAAAGTTCAACGTACATACTCCCTGGGTGCATTCGAGTCCCCATTACTTCGATGTAACATGTACATCCCTCGTGTCTATCCACTGCTAGACGAGAGCCTCCCAATCCCATGTCAGTCGAGTACATCGATTCGAGAGAGCAGATCATCGGAGTAAAGATTCTCCGAATCTTTTATCGGTCAGTTGGCTCAGCAGCTCGCGAGTTCAAATCCTGATCGTGGGGTGACTCGGCCCATCATCCCCTTGGGGATTGATAAAACGACTACCAATTTGTGGAAAAGTCAGCAGCGGCTGTCCTATGGATCGACTACCCCCACCCCCGACATAGTAATGTGTAATTTACACGACTGCCTCAGGGCTGTAGAATTAAAAAAAAACTTTCACGTTTTGACTTTTCATACATTTTTTTTGTTTATCACGCAAGCAATGCCCAAATGCTACGTTGCCCAGGGAAACACTGGCGCCGCCAGCCAATGCGACCTCACAACCTCCCTCCCCCGGCGAATAGATTAGCGATGCGAGCACGAGAGAATGGCCACAATTCTGCGGATTTCATCTTAGTCCTCTTCACTTCCGCCCCCGCCCCCTCCGTCCAGCCCCCCTTCAACCCCATCCCCTCCCCCCTGACCGAGCGGTGAAAGTTACCGGTCAGGGTTTATCTACCGCAGGACGTGGCTCGGAGGTCAGGGTTCAGCGAGCGCAGGGAATTGTTTTTTTTTCAACTTCTGAAGTCACGGTTATTAGCTTCCTGGGCTGTGTCGCTCACCCCCCCCCCCCCCCCCAATCTCCCGTGGTGTTCCGGGGAGAGAACACTTCACATTGAGATCACAGCCTCAGCTGAACTCTTCGCAACGAGCCCGTGGTTTTGTTTGGACCGTTGTCGTTTCACGGTGGTTCTGAGTTTTTTTCGTGATAGGGCGGTGGCGGCCCTCTTATCCGTGACGATCCCAATATCTGTGACCCATGTTCACCGAGAGCACTGGACTTGCCATCCAGAGTTCGCCGGATCGATCTCCCGGCCCGGAAGTTGAAACAAACGGACCAAGGCTCTCGAAGCCAGCAGCATAAATGGGTTCGCCACGGTCATTGGACCGGCGGGTAGCGTGTGGTGGGTTGGATGAATGTGGGAACAACACATCTGTTCATCGTGGAAGAGTAGATCAACCACCCTCGAAGTGAGTTTAACACGTAGGCTTTCGCGACCCTCTAATCGTGGACGACGCCCTTCTGACAGCAGTAGCGTGAAACATATGCATGCATATACATACAAATATCCCCCGGTATAGCCTTAA